ACAGCCCGCTGTATCGTCGGGTTTTGTCAATGAACGCAAGAAACGCCTATGTTATAAACATGGTATTTGCGCCTTTACACCACCATCTGCAATCTACCAACTGTCGGAGTTTTGCAGATCTTTCTAAACTAATGTAAGTTTGCCCCGCGGTACCGCCAGAGAATTAGGTAAGCACTACGTACTGTGTTCGGCAGCGGGACCCACTTGGTAGCTGTTTGATATATTCTTTCCTATACACGTCTCAGCGAGTTTGGCCTATTTTTGGCATTTAATTTGAAACCAATTTGCTCCTGATTTGCGCATATTTCGGAAAAGCTTTTGTTTTTAGGCTTTGGGCAATATTTTGTTCAAAAATTGGAATGTAATCTGAAAATCGGCTAGAGAAACTTTAAAAGGAAGTGCATCACCTTGGTCTGTCGGCCAAAAATATCTGGCGTCCCCAAATATCAGTCCGGTGACCAAAAAGCTGGCGGGCGCCCGTGATTCTTTTTTTCATTGTGACTACTCACAATACTACATACATAAAATGACAATGACAATCTTCATATATCTCGCAGGGAGGAATTTGTCTTGGTCGTTAACCGAAGACTGACGAATATCAACGGGTTTGATTTTTTCAAAAGTAAGTCAACAGGGTCATTGACACATAATAGTCAAGTTTCTGATCAGGCAGAACTCTTTAACACTTAACTTGAATGTACCTAAAGTTTGACTTGAGCTGTACATAAAGTTGGTAGTTACGACTCGTTTTTCTCCTGCGCATGGCAATTGCGCAATACAGCTCATTCATTTAGATGAATTACCACTTTTCAAGAGGACGATCAGTGCTATCCTGTTATAGACTACTACCAGCCCCGCTGTACCGCCATTTCCACGCCCGTCCCAAGGTAGGCGGTATATGAGGTTTTACTGAATATGGTGCATGGAGAGAGGGAGATACAGAGTTGGGGGGGGATAAAAGGAGAGAAAGATAAAAGAGAGCGAGAAGGAGAGAGAGAAATGGAGTTAGAGAGAGAGAGAGAGAGAGAGAGAAAGAGA